CACTGCTGGCCCTGCCACAAAGCACCAGGGCATGTCAGCTGTGGTGTGCAGGTGGGTGGTGGTGATGGATTGGGGGTGGCTGGCGTGGCTGTGCCCCCCCCCATGACTGTCACTATGGGGAAGGGGACACCCTCCAGGGCTTTGTGTCACTGCCTGACACTCTGAGTTCCCTCTCTGCAATCAGCTACCCCACATCACACCTCACTGATCTCCATCCTCTCCATCAACCATTCCCCTCTGGGACCAGGATCTCCCTCCCTGCTCCCACCCTGCCCTGCCTGCAGCCAGTGTGGGGGGACACCCAGGACCCCCCAGTTTGCTTCCCCTGGCGGTTTTGGGTCCGTTTCCCTCGTATTTATAACTGTACAGACTGGGGGGGAGGGTCTCATCTCTCACACACATTTATTGTAGGCAATGGTAACTTTCTTGGTTGTGCTATTAGAGTTTGTGTATGTGGCAATGTAAAGAACTGTGTATAGTGCATTGTACAGCATATTTTCATGAATAAAATTGTTTTAAATATTACACGGTGGGGCTGTTGCTGCTGTCAGTGCTTGTGTGTCTGGCTGAGAGGGAGAATGGTGCCCCCAAAGAAGCTGGGGAACATGGGAGAGTGACCAAGGGGGAGATGGGATTTTGGTGAAACTGAGCTTGCACCCAGAGCATGGGGGTGATTGGGCTGTGGAGGTCATAGAACCACAGAATCATCATAGAAAAGGAGACTCAGGGGTGCCCTCATCACTCTCTGCATTACCATTCTGTGTTACATTTCAAACCCTAAAANGAATCCTGGATTTAATGCCAGCCCTAGGGCAGTGACTCTGGCTGCTGATTAAGCCCATGATTCTGTGAGATTCTGTGGGATTCTGTGGGATTCTGTGGAATTCTGTGGGGTTCTGTGGGATTCTGTGGGATTCAGCTTTTCTGGGATGCTGCAGGAAGCTCTACCAGGCTGGGACTGTGCCTGAACACTACAGGTGATGCCCTCCGAGCCCTCCTCCCCAAACCCATCAGCACCAAGCTGAACCTTCAAAAATCCTTCCCTGGCAGGACCTGTGGGGCCACAGCCAGGTGGGCGAGGCAGAGCTCTGTGCCAGCAGACACCTTGGCTCCTGTCACTGGTGTTTTCTTGGTGCCAGGGGACATGCCAGGCTGGGCTCTGCTGCAGACACACCTGGCAGGTGCTCAGCCTCTGCTGGGAACCCAGGAGCTCCTCTCCTGGACGTTCTTGGCTCTCCTGGAAGTTCTTGGCTCTCCTGGACGTTCCTGGCTCTCCTGCCCTGTGCACTTGATGCCAAACACAGCCCTTGGTCCTGCAAGGTGAAGGCTGCAGGTCCTGGAAGGTGGGAATTGTGTGTGCCACCAGGAACAAGGGCTGCTCAGAGCTGAGGGGGTGACACCAGTGTCCCCATTGTCCAAGAGTTACCAGAGCTGGGACAATGTAGAAACTAAAAGCACAACTATAATTTTATATCCGGTTTAATTCCAAATGGGGGATTGTGTGTGATGTGGAGAGGGAAATACAAATAATTTGTTTGAATGCAAAGAAATAATTTTGTTTTAAATCCTTTTCTGTAAATGGTTTTCAAGTTTCAGCCTGTAAAGGGAATAATCTCACCAGCGTTCTCAGGGCTGTCCCCACTCCCCCTGTGTGGGTTTCTGCAGCCATGGGCAGGAGCAGGGATGGAGTTGCTCCGTCCATGGTCTGTGTGGGCTCTGGCACTGCTGCTGCAGCTCAGGGGGTGCTGTGGGAGCTCTGCCCAGCCCTGAGGTCCTTCCAAGGTTCTGACAGGCTTGGGAATGTGCTGGGCCCCCAGCCCCGCTCTGCACCTGCAGGAGATGCCCCAGGTGCCAGGGTGGGTGTGAGCCCCATCCCCACGTGCTGCAGGATGAGCAGGGAGGTTCTCCTGCCCCACACCCACATGGGATGTGGTTTTTAGGGGATGAACTTTTCCCCTCTGATCTCCCAGAAAGAGGAGGGTGGGCTGTGCCTGGGGTGGGGTGTGGGGAGCACAGGGAGCCTGACCCTGAGCAAAGCAGCTCCAAACCCACAGCCCTGCCTTGATGTGGGTCCCTCTGGGTGGTCCCAGCTCCACCAGGGAGGTGGGAGGAGGAATGGGTGGGTACCCACCTGCCCAAAGAGGAGAGACCCTTTGGAGGGGAAAACAGCCAAGTGCAGACACAGGCAGGGCTGAGCAGAGCCCCTGTGCCCCAGGAGCTCCTCAGCACAGAGCACAGGCAGGGTGCCCACCCTGGTCCTGCAGGACCTCCAGGATGTCCAGGACATCCCATCCTGCAGGGTGCCCACCCTGGTCCTGCAGGACCTCCAGGATGTCCAGGACATCCCATCCTGGCAGGACCT